AGTTTCCAAGAACCAGCAAAACCATGACAGCATCCTTATGTATTGGGTTAGGTGCGCTCATGTATATGTGCCTATATGTGTATGGGAGCCCCTGGTGGCCTAGGGGAAAGGCGCTGCACTGTCACTGCAGAGACCCGGGTTCGAGCTGGCCACACCCCTGCTTGTCACAGCAGGAGCGGTGGCAGCTGCAGGAGCAGCTCTGCTCCATCTGCCAGTGGCAGTGTCAGTACGGGCGACCCTCTCTCCTGCTGATCCCACCCGTCCCGCGGGAGCAGCACATGGAGTCCACCCCCCTCGCATATTTTGAGGGACCAGTTGATCCCCATCCTCGCCGCCCAAGCCTCCGACATGGGTCTGACTAGTGGGGAAAACCCCCCACCATGTCTCCCTCTATTTCTCTGTATGACTGACAATTTTATTACTCTAGGAGCCTTTTTCTGTTCTTGTTGATGATACCAATGTTGTAATAAAAACACAGAAGGTCCCGTTGGGGCCTCTTCTATGGATTCAACACAGCCCACGATTACCCAGGAAAAAAATAGTAAAGAAAAAGTTTACCAGGTCCAGGTTTTGAAACCAGATCCTTTTGGTTACTTAACCTTAACGAAATACCTTGCACCACCACCTACTACAAGCAAGGACAACCTCTACAGGAGAGGTCTTAGAGAGAGAGTATCCTCTTTCAGCCATACCAAGCCAATCCAAAAACCCCTAGCAAATCCAAGGGCTCCCTCGCCTTACAAAAGCTGCAGGGGAACCATCCACAGCCCCCCCAGTTACTGAGGATGGGTCGGTCAAGCCTCATTCACCCAGGTGAAATGCCAAGTAAAGAAAAACCCTTAGGGAACAAACCACTCCACAAGTAGCTTTGCTTCCCACTTTTCTCCATGAAACAGATCCCATACTGTCTGGCCAAGCCGCTTCAGGGTCACACTTCTGCCCACAGACTGGGGAAAAACAATTGACTTTCACAATACCCAGGGATCCCAACAAGAAAGTCACACCCCAGTCCTAATCAAGTACCCCCGATTTTCAGAAAAAAATACTTTGCAGTTGTTAGTAAAATTAACCAAAAGAACTGCGCTTTAGCTTACCTCTGTGGGTGGTTCTGAGAAGTTGGGCTTCTCAGGATCGGTGTGTAGGGAATTCTCAAAAATATGCAGGCAGAAGAATTTCTCTCAGGATGAAATTTCCTGATTTGGAGGAGTCACAGGTCTCAGGTTTCCACCTTTTGGGTGCCAAAAATTGTTGCCTTAGATAATCGAGGGAGCCAAAGAAAGACTCACCAGGCAAGTAGAGATATGGTAGAGAGCAGTTTTAATAGAAGGTCTTCAACCATGGGGCACAGAGATGCGCGCCCCACGTGTTCAGGGGTTACACAATTTAAGGTGTTGTCCATCCAATCCCAGGTCTATCCACCCCCCAGATCCTCCCAGTTCTGCCTCCGGCATGCCCCTCTGGAAACTGAGGCAGGGGGCTCTGAGACCCCCTCTTCCTCATCTTCCTCTTGGTCACAGCACGTCCAGTGCTTGGAGCTCCTCCAAAGTTCTGGGTTTTGAAGGTTACTTTGTCAGTGGGGTATCTTGTTGTTTGGAGCCCCCGGTAGTCTAGGGGAAAAGACACTGCACTGTCACTGCAGAGACCCGGGTTCGATTCCCGGTCGGGGCCCCTCCCCGGGCAGATGGAGCTCGTTAGCCCTGTAAGGCAATCCATCTACGTCCTGAGGACCTTGCTGCCACCGTCCAAGCGTTCTTGACCCTGGCAGATGAACCTCAGGATTAAAGGGTGGGCTCAGTTCCGCGCACACTGTGTCTCACCTAAAAAATCCAATGCGCAGGCTGGAAGGTGGAAAGACCTTCCCCGGTTCTTCGTTTGCGAAGAGACTGGCCATTGATTGATCTTGTTGTTCAAGCCAGGGTGCAAATGTTCTTAAACAGAATGAAGGTCTACCTTGAAGGAAGTCTAAACAAACTAAAGGAACTTAAAAAGTTCAATATGAAATGGGGCATGTGTAAACTACTGTGCCAAAGGGTGAGTTAACTACAGCTACTTCTAAAATCTACAAAAAGTTAAAAATCAAAAAATCCATAGGCATCACTAGCAAGGCTGGAAGGAATTGCCCACTGAGCAGTGCTGTGCTACTAGGGATCCTTCATCAGGATAAGGGGCCTTTCACATTTCTCAGTTCCCTCCCCTTTGCTTTTTCCTACTATAGTGTACCCCTGCTGCTTGCGTGGGATAGCTATGTGCAAGGAAGTTAAAAAAGGGCTACAGGAATGAAATTCTGGAGGTTTTTTAGGCCATTTTTGTTAACAAGTGCAAGATTTTTGATCCCCACCATCTCTCAGTGCTTCCCAGAAGTTGGGGCATCATCTGACATCTCCATCCTCTCTATCATCCAGGCTTTGCCTACAGGCAGGGAGAAGTCCAATGAACTACAGTAGGTCTTTGCCCCCTCTGGTCCCATGGTGACTCATTGACAGGATCTCAGAGGGGGGGAGAGGGACTGAGCATGGACTCTGTAAGAGCAGGGAGTTGAGATAACTTTATTGACAGGACGCAGCTTTTTATAACCTTTCCCCAACTTGAAAACATTCCTTATAAGGTAAAACTTCCTTATTAGGCAAAACTTGTGACCGCAGCATTTGATTGACTGTTGCTGTTACCTGGAGACCTGGCAGACTCTTGGGGTAGCAGCTCCATTCCTGTAATGGATTGCTCTGTGCTCAGCTTAGCCCAAACCTAAGAGTTTTGTGTTCAGTCTTGCCTCATGGTCTGTGAATGGCGGCAACAGCAGCAGTGTCAGCAGCGGCGATGCACAAGTTGTCTGTGTCAGCGTCGGTGACAGGACGATGGGGGGTCATGGCAGTGATCCACAGGCAGCGCTGTCTGTAATGGCCACTCAAAAACAGCTGCGGTTTCTGTCTGCTCCTTTTTGGATCTGGCATGAGCTTGCAGTTCCTCAAAAATTGCTCTCCATAGTGTTAATTGCTTCCTAAAAACTTCCTTATTTAGGTAAAACCTGTGATTGCAGCATTTGATTGGCTACTGCTGTTACCTGGAGACCTGGCAGGCTCTTGGGGTAGCAGCTCCATTCCTGTAATGAATTGCTCTGTGCTCAACTTAGCCCAAAGCTTGCTGTTAAGGTCTGTCTCTTTCCCAGGCCTTTGGCCTGCATTAATTCCCACACCATGAGGTGACCTTCAACATGGTTTTCTCAGCAGCGTCTCCTTTTTTCTCAGCGTCTGTGTACAGTACTGATTAATGGAAATGGATCCATTGTTTGGTGGGTGAAAATAAGGACATTTAGAGTGTTTGGTCTTGGTAGATGCAGTTGGTTGGAGCATCTCATCTCTCCTATTGTTACTGAAGGTGGTCCTAGTGATGGTTTCAGTGAGGGTGACTGCACCGTGGGTGCTGCTAGTGGGTCTCAAGCCACTTTTGAAGGTGGACCTGGTGATTTAGGACCCATAACTCCAACTAGAATTAGGTGTTGAAACAGCATGGGAATCACCCAAATCCAGGTTGACTTCAATGGTCCTAATAACATTGCTTTTGGAAATGGTGGATGTACCATGGGTGTTGGTGCATGTGTGGAGACCATCATGAAAACAATGGGCATTGCATCACTTTTGGATCATATTAACCCCTCTGGTGCTAAATTTCTCCTTTTCTTCCTTTTTTTCCTCCTATTCTGTAGTTTCCCAAGTTCTTCAGGAGCCAGGGGATTGGTCACACTGGTGTGTAGTGGCATACTGGGAAGAGAAGACACGTGTGGGTCATCTGTATTCTGTTCAAGAACCCTCCCTGGATATCTTTTATGATCTACCTCAGGGGAATGGTTTCTGCCTCGGACAGCTCAACTCAGACAACAAAAGCCAACTGGTGCGGAAGGTCCGGAGCAAGATTGGCTATGGCATCCAGCTCACCAAGGAAGTAGATGGCGTGTGGGTGTACAACCGCAGCAGTTACCCCATCTTCATCAAGTCGACCACACTGGACAACCCCAACTTCAGGATGTTATTGGCTCACAAAGTGCTTCCAGGTTTTTCCATCAAGGCTTTTGACTACGAGAAGGCGTACAGCTTACAGAGACCCAACAACCATGAGTTCATGCAACAACCATGGACTGGATTTACTGTTCAGATCAGTTTTGTGAAAGGCTGGGGCCATTGCTACACTAGACAGTTCATCAGCAGTTGTCCGTGCTGGTTGGAGGTTATTTTTAATTACTGATAACAAGACAGAGTGGACTGGTGGCATTTATGCTACTTTGCTGTTATTTCCTTCTGAGTGCTTGCTTTTCATGTAAACTTTTTGGGTTTGTTTTGTTTAGTTTGTGTGTGTGTGTGTATCTCCCTTTGTTTTGAGAAATAGCTTATGGAAAGATTTTTTTTTTTTGTGCTTTGGGTATTTTGATAAATATATCAATTTTTTAAAAGTGTAAATGTCCAATAACTCAGAAGGGTGAGAAAAGGGTGTGGGAGGGGGTGAGTGTGTGTGAATCACATATATGATAATTATTTCATGCCTCTGAAAGGATTATCCTATGTGATTGATGGATCCAGAAGCCACTTGCTATATGTTACGGCTCCTTCTCTTGGATAAAACAAGATATCTGTATTTTTTATGCACCACCAACTGTCACCATCCCCAGTGATGGTGACACCAAGACCCCTTCCCCAGTGGTGCTAATCCCACATTGCTGCCGAAGGATGGTGCAAAATCTTCCCAACCAGGTCTTTACCCACCTTTTTCAATTTTTATTTTATTTTTCTTGTTGCTGAGTTGACGTCTAGTCACTGTGTTCATCCTTCCACTGCTTTTTTTATTTTGTTATGGTCATGGATTGATGCAAGGGGAGAAAACAACAGCAGAGAAACCTTGTGCATGGCCCATGCTTTATAATTTGAGTTGAGATGTAAAGTGACAGAAGCCTAAGACTAAAGCAAAACAAAACAAAGCAAAACCAACAAAACAAAAACAAATGGAAAAACAAAAGAAAAAGTGTTCACAATAGTTGATCTGTTGTAACCTGCTTAGATCAGGTTATCCGGGTATCATCAGATCTGGAAATGCAGTTGCTTTCATTTCTTCTTAAATTTATACACGGGTATGATACTTTTACACTGTTCTTAGCTCAATGATCATGTTTAGACTGTAACATAAGCTATTTTTCTAAATATAAAGGTTTAAATGAACAAGAGAGCATTCTTATTGGAACTTTAGCGTTGTAGTACTTTGGAAACACAAAACAAAGGACTACTTAAAAAAACCCTAAAAATTATTAAAGAAAAAATTTTATTTTAGATATAAATATATTATTACTTGTAAATAGAAGAACATTTTATAAGCATCATTATTTATGTATTGTGCAATGTGTATAAATGAGAAAAAATAAGAAAGATGCACTTTGCTTTAATATAAATGCAAATAACAAATGCCAAATTAAAAAAAAAAACAACAACACATGAGTTTGATGGTTTTTCTATGGGTGTTATCATCCAAATGAATGTTTTCTATAAAAGAGTTTACGTTCCATTAAAAAATAAAAATGTACACTTAATCCCAGGCTGAGCCAAATGACTTTTTTAGTACAAGGTTGTCGCCGGTCGAGGCGGGAGGTGACATGGGTTCAGGATACCAGCCTTTTATTGCAACAGTACAGCTACCTTTATACAGTCCTGGGTGACACATGTACACACAGCATTGGTTTACAACTATCATAACAACTCTTGATTGGATATACAACCACATGTCCTAACACAATAGGTTAACCTCTAACAGGAAACCGACTCTGTTACAGTCCCCACTGTCCGTGGTTAACCCTCTGCCAGGTGTAAAAAGTTCCATCTTTGATATTTCAGTTTACAGAGAGCCCAGAACCAGCTGGACTCCCCCACAATTCCCCCTCTTTTGTATTATAGAAAATGCCAGCATCAGTTAATACAGGGCCCGTGCAGTAGCGACATGGCAATATCAATAATACAGTACAACTACACACATAGGCAAAGAATCAACCAGTCCTTCTTTCATCAGTCCACAAGAATGGTATTCCTTCTTCTCAGTGCTGAATGTCCATAAATGAGTTGTCCATGTAGCTTGTGTGTGTGGAACAGGCAGGTAGAAAACAGTCTGTTGGAGGATAAGAATATTGCTCCTCAAAAGCTAACTGAATAGACAGGTATCCTCCCCCCCTTTTTTTTTTTTCTTTTTTTTCAAATTTTTTTTTCTATTTTTTCTATTTTTTTTATTTTTATTTTTTCTATTTTTTTTTCATATTATTACTGGTAGTTTTTGACTTCCTAAAGTCTTTCAGTGCTTCAAAAGGCAGGTGTCAGGAAGTTAATAACTTCATGACTCCTTTGTCATTATGTGTGGAACTTTTGGACAAAGATTTGTCCGATTCATCCCACACAGACACACTGAAAATAACTTTAGAAGTCGTGGTATCCTTAGTCTCTGCTCCTGAAGGAAGACAAGGCTTCAGAAGGGTTAATCGAAGCATCTTACTGCATAAACCCACTCTTCTCTCCCCCCCCTTCTCTACCTTGCTATAAGGAGATTTTGTTCTGTACAAATTCTGTAGACATAAGCCACAGGTACATTGCACAAAGAGCCCAGAGGTAATAAATTATAGCCAAATAGGCTAAGGTAGACATTTGAATAGGTAAAGTAGACCTAGAGCCAAGGGTTTCTTCAAGCCTGGACGATCAGAACACGAAAACAAAGGAAAGTACAGAAGGTCCCCGGTGTCACGCGATGAAGAAGAGTAGATTTGAGACCCCATGAGGAAGTAAGGTAGGACCTCCCACCATAATATTCCTCAAAATAGAGACCACGCCTCAAACTCCGCCCTGACTCCACCTGCTATGAATATTGTAATCTAATGATGCAATAATATGAATATGTATATGAATATGTTGTAATCATTGTCAAAAATTGTATAAATTGCTCATTCTAATCGGACTAGCTCAGAACCTGTTTTCCCAGCAATAGCTGGCAGGCTGCCCGGCCGCTCAATAAATAAATACCTTGCTGTTTAAAGATTTAAAATTCTGTCCTTAAACAGGTTTTTATCTGCCTTTTTGGGCATCACTCCAAATTAGCATTTTTGCAGGAGCAGGGCACCTAACTTGATTCCATGTTTCTCTAGTAGCAACAGTTGCCACTCTGGACGACAGAGTCATCCTCTCTACTTAGCACTAACTGCCACATTTGGACGACAGAGTCATCCTCACTAGATAACATGGAACCTACTATGCTCCAGTTTCGACCTGTCTGTCATGGGAGACCCTACCGGAGGCATATGCCACCACCAGCACAGCTCGCAACCTCAAAAGGGGATTTGTTTTTTTTGTTTTTTTTTTTTTTTTTT